AGATGGCAGAAAATCCGATTGCCTTTTTTATTAGACCTTGCATGCCTACCTGAAATAGGTTTGCTGCAAGGATATAGGCAATTTCTGTCTTGGCTGAAGCCCTACAGACAAAATAGGAGTTAATCTAGCTCAGCATTTGGAAGGTTCATGCCAGGGTAGGTGTGAAAGCAGTATGGCTGCTTGTGGTAAGACAAAAGAGAGTGCAAAGAGGAACTGGCAGAAAATCTCTATTAAATAAGAAAAGAAAATTACTGGGAGTCCTGTGTTTCTCATAACAAACTTCCACATGCAGTGTACTGAACCAGATATATACAATAAAACCTTGCTGTGCTTGGGTGATCACATAGGCACAGAGAGGAAATTAGTGCTGAGCATATTCCAAAGCAGTCACAGAAATACCAATGCTTCTGAATGCTTCCTCTAGCCTGTGGCTTTTCCATCACTGCTACATAGTGACTGCTCCAATACCACTACTCCAGAGCAGAACACCATAAATTATCAAATTCAAACTTAGCAGTGAATAAACACTGTTACAGAAACCAACCTGTCAAGCCAGAGAAGAAAAATGGCAGAAGTATGTTTTTGTTGTCTAGAGTGTGGTTTTGGTTTGGTTTTTTTTTTTCATGGTAGTAAATCAGATGATTGGCCAGAGTGGTCTGCTAGCAGGAGGTCTGGAGAACCAGACAGCTAAGCTGAAGTTAACAGGACTGCAGAGGAATTTTTAACATATTAATTTAGGCATTCATCACTGAAAACACTGACTCTTCTTCCCCCTGTTTAAAAACTGGTTCCATATGAAGTCAAAGTACTCTGAAAATAAACTCTGATTTACTTCCTTGTATGCCTTGATCAGGATATCCATGCTGTGTTTTACTATTAGGCTATATTTGCACACAGGCAATTTGTTCCACTCCAAAAAATAGCAGCAAACTGTTATAGCTTGCCAAGAGATCATACCGACAGCTTAACAGATTGAGAGAGCAATTTGCCCATTTAGTATACAGACATAAATCTTTACACCTAACAGCTTTGTTTAAGGGCCAGGACTGCTCACTCCTACACCTGAACCTGCCACCAACACATGTATGGTCGTGCTGGGAAAGAAGCAGCAGTGAGGGAGAACATTTGGATTTATAAATATTGAGTTAAATCGCGCTGCTCTCTCTTAAGTGAGTTTATACACATGCAGAGGTCATAGCGTAATCCAAACCTTTTATATTCAGTTCTCTGGTGCTTGTGGCCGTGTGAGCCACACATGTACAAATTCCAGCTTTGCCCTCTTCACGAAAGTGCTGCTCTTTGGTTGAAGGAATATGGTCAACTTGTGCCCCTAGTGGTCTCCCAGGATTCTGCAGAGGAGGGACCTTGGTACAACTTAGCAAACTACAGGTATCATGTTCCTTTCTCCAAAATCTTCTAGAAACAAGAGCAATGACAGATGTCAGCACTGCCCCCACAGATAGTCTCAGAGGGCTGGGGTACCTTTCCTACAAAGACAGGCTGAGAGAGCTGGAGTTGTTCAGCCTGGAGAAGGATCCAGGGAGACCTAATAAGGTCTTTCAGTACTTAAAGGGAGCTTATAAAAAGAAGGGAGAGGGATTTTTCATGTGGGCAGATAGTGACAGGACAAAGGGAAATGGTTTTAAATGGAAACACAGCAGTTTTAAGTTAGATGTTAGAGAGAAGTTCTTTACTCAGAAGGGGTGAAGCACCTGAACAGGTTTTCCAGAGAAGCCATGGATGCCCCATCCCTGAAGTGTTCATGGCCAGTTTGGATGGTGCTTTGAGCAACTTGTCTAGAGGACGGTGTCCCTGCCTGTGGCAGGGGCTTGGAACTAGATGATCTTTAAGGTCCCTTACAACCCCAACCTTTCTATGATTCTGTGTGAAAATTATTGCCGTACTTTTACCTAAAATTATTACATTACAAAAAGAAGAGTCCTTTTATCACTGAAAAAGAGAAAACTACAGATAGTTGCTACAACTCAGTGCACAGTAAGACACTTAGCTAAGAATATCAGGAAGGCTGCACTAGGTCAGGTGAAGTACCCTCTTACTCAGCATTATGTCCCTGAACAAGAACAATAACAAATGCTTCAGCAGAGAGTGTAGCTGCAGGACAAGCAGGTGGTGATAGCTTTGCCATTCCAGTTTCAGCAATTACCATTTTAAGGATTTTCTGAATAGAGATTGGAGCTGAACAATTTTGCTTAATAGCCCTTGATGGATCTTGGTAGTAGCTACTAATCGAAAAAGGAGCCTCTTTTGTCATTTTTTGACTGATTAGTTGCTTTGAAAGCTCTTAGTGAGGACCTTGTTTAAGGCTTTTTTGGAAATCTAGGTAACTGCAGAAGTCAAATCACCCGTATTCATATGTTCACTAACTTTTTGAAAGAATGCTGTTAGGTTTCTGCAGCATGTGTTCCGAGGGGCTAAGATGCCCAGAGCTTTTGTGGCACCACATCTGTTGCTCCCTGCTTTCTGGGACAACTCCCACAGCCAGTTAAATAGCAGCTAGTGGTTCAACATGTTCACATTTTAATTTGTTCAAAATAGCTGGTGAGCTGCATCTGATCCCACCAATGTTATTAATGTCTTCAAAATTAGCCTCAGATACTGAGGACTGTATCAGTCCTATTAGCAAAATAATCCTTAAGTTCCTGCTTTCTTATTCCAGCTAAATGCTTCTATGGAGCAAATACTAAAATCCTAAATCTTTACTTCCTCACAATTACCTTTTAAGAAGATCAGAACCTCTGTATTGCCACTCCTGACTGGCAAAGTTTATTCTCAGCTGAAACTCATAACTAAGGGAAATACTCACTCTTCACTGCCTTTAAGAATGAAAGGTCATTGATAAAACAGACCGCGACAGCTGGTGTGAATTCATGTAGCTCCAATAATATCCCTGCAGATATATAAAAATAAATAAAAATATTATCTTCCCTTAAAAGACATAATTTTTTCTCCACAGTTCCACTGTTATAGATGGATGGATGTGTTTTAAGATTTGTTTAAAAGAAACTTATTTCAGTAATTAACTGGCTTCAGATCTTGGCCACCTGGGCACACACTGGCTCATGTCAAGCTGACTGGCAACAAACATCCCCAGGTCCTTTTCCACCAGGCAATTTTCCAGCCACTCTTGCCCCAGGCTGTAGCGTTGTGTGGGGTTGTGACCCAGGTTGTGACACTTTTGTCTTGTTGAACCTCATCCCATTGGACTCGGCCCATCGATCCAGCCTGTCCAGATCCCTCTGCAGAACCCTCCTGCCCTCCACCAGATCAAGACTCTCACCCAACTGTGTCATCTGCAAACTGAGTGAGGGGACTACTCAATCCCCTTGTTCACATTGTTGGTGAAGATATTAAACAGGACTGGCCCCAGTACTGAGCCAGGGGGACACTAACCATGACAAGCTGCCCTCCAGACTTGTGCTGAAAGCTGCCTTGGGCAAAGCCACTGTGAGGAGGTCTCTCTGGAGACTGGCACCTGCCTAATGCCATGCCAGTGACGATGCATCCTCAGGTACTCTCAGGCACCTCACCTGGGTGAACTTGCCAATACACAAGACAGGGTGATTTTGAAGAATACCAATGGATTCTAAATTCTTGCTGGCTGATGAAAAATAAAGGCAATAAATAATTCCTTGATGAATTCCATTTGTTTCTTTAGGCTTATGCCCAGGGTAAGTGGTACAAACACAAAGCTTCTCATGGCTGGACCAATAGGGAACACAGGAACAGACTGAAAGTGTCAGTATTGGGTTTTAAAGGCATCCATCACACCCTGTTGCAATGCTAGCACCCAAAATGCCAATTATTTAGAAACACTGAACCATAGTATGCTATACAAATTGAAGGGGGTTGATTTTGTTACAAATATTTCTGTCTTTTCCAATTAAGACTGTAGCATTATGTAGTGATGTGAAACTGTCTTGTTAATTTACCCTTGGAGGGCATTTATTCCAGGCACACAATAATATTAACAGAGAAGAAATTAGTTTTCCTCTCTCACTTGCAATGACTGTGATGGGGCTTAATAGGAACGTTAATAACAATCTTGACCCAATCTGCATCTAATCTTCTGCTGCTATAAATGGAGTGTCAACAATTTGCACAGTCTGATGATATTTTGTTCTTTGTTTCATGACAGCAGCTGTATAAAACAGTTTCAGATTATCCACTCTTTTCTAAAGAAGGATTAAATCCACACATATTTACCAAAAAAAATATGAATGTTGTTAATCAATTTCTACTCAGTAATGTATTTTCCAGGATGATAACACATCATTTTAGAAGCACACATGATAATGCTTTACCATTTAAATCCAATGCATTGTTTGATTTTGATCTATATAAACAGGTATTGCTAGAAGAAAAAAAAATAAAACACACAAATTTGTAAGAGGAAGATAAAGAGAAACATTTATTCTATTATTATATTCTATTATTCTATTATTATCCTATCTATTTAAATCTATTAGATTTTTTATCTAGGTCAGTCCTTGAATAATATGGCCTCTGAATTCCATTAAATTTCTGGTATCTCTATTAAAAATCCTTGCATAGTCCATCAGAACTAAGAATTCTATTCTTTTGTGTTCCACTTCTCTCTCACAATAGAGATCGAAACCTGGATATTATAATCTGTTGTCACAGACATTATTTCAGTATTATGAATGATCTTTTCATTTAGAGGACCAAGGGAGGGAAAAAAAGGTGGGTTTTTGTAGATTTCACTTAAAAATGGCATAAAATAAGTGAAATGTAGAACCGTATTGTATACACTGATTCATTCCAGAAAATACGCCCCTGTAGAGTATTTTTCTGTTAACATCGTTGAGATAAAAAACACATCTTCTCATAGCCGATTTTCATTTGAACGCCGTCCGGGTGAGGTTTCAATTCTTTAAGTTGCACTGCCCTCTAGGGGAAAGGATCTTCCAGCTGCAGCTCCATGGCTACGCCGCGAGAACAAAAGCCGTCCCGGCAAAATTTTGCTTCCTCCAAATGTTATGCTGATACTTAATATGAGTTCGGCAAGAGTAGCACAAAGATGAGCGGGGCCCCAGTACAGTCACGTTTTATCTGCATTTTTATTCCCTTACGTGTTCTATTTGTCCGTGTGTTGCCTTGCCTAAAGCATAAGCCTGTTTAGTAGAGAATCTTGTCCTGTCTAGCTCACCCTTCCTCTCAGGGTCGGGGGACAGGGACTCAAGAGACAAAATGGTTACCTCGGCTTTTCTGCTGGAGGTTAAAGCTTGTGTGGCCAGTTTTGGGATCCTCCATAAGGCGGCTCTGTGCTCTCTGCAGATCAGGTGCTCACTGAAGGAGCTGATCACAGTTGGCTGTGCAGACCATGAAACTGACAGGTGGTCTCTAGTTTGGAAAAATTACAATTTTCCAATAAAGAGCTAACAAAAAAGCAGGTTTTAGTAAGAAGCTCCCTAATACAAACAAGAGAAAAAAGAAAAAGTTATTTCTGCTATTTGACTCCTGTTATCTTCTAAAAAAGAAATAATCAGAGAGCTAGTCAAATAATGGACAACTATAATTATCATATTCATACAATCTCAAAAGGGTCAGAGGGAAGCAAGATATCACACTGGGGAAGCCATCTGGGGTATATATCTGAGTATGATTAATTCCACCTCCCTTCAGATGAAGTAAAACTGGTATTTTACAATATAATTTAATGCTGTCAGATAACTGTATGACTTGAAAACGAAATAAAATTCCAGAAGAGAAATTCCTATAGCAGGTCTTTTATCTTTTAGAGTTTCTTAGAAAAGATGTGTAGTGGAGGAGGAGCAGGACTTGGTTCAGTGAAGCGTATGTAATGCTTCAGTATCTTTCCACAGTTGATGCTGCAAATAGGATAGCAGGAATAATGACTGAATCAGAGAACAATGATGGGATTTATTATTTGGAAAAAAAAGAGATCAGGTTGGTATGGAGAGAAATAGGTGGCTATGGCTATCAGAAACTCTCGTAAGGAAAAATAGCCCACTGTGAAAATTGTGGGAATACTGAAGAGGAAGAAAATAGCTAATGCAAAGTCACCTTTGAAGAAGATTCAGGGTTTCACAAAGGAGAGGGAATGGAGATTATGCATTCATCTCAAGAAGCAAGCTGCAATGTTAGCTGTGAGCTGATCATGCGCCTCCAAAACCTTCTGGCAACTGTGGTGGAGTTATGTGGAAGATGAACACAGCACACTTCACTGGCTCTAATTAGCACACAAACAAAAGTGAATATTAAGAATTACTGTTGTGGCTCTACTGGCCGAACTAAAGGTACTCCAAAATTTTTCACCATCCACTAATTCTGTGTACTTACCTTTCAAACAAATAGCTATAACCATTTTATTAATTTTTCACACTTTTTATCACCAGATAATTGCAGCCTTAAACTTTCAGCTGGAAAAAAAAAAATCCTTCTTAGCCATTTCTTTACATGTTTGATTTTGAAAATATGATTGCCTTTAAAATCAATTACAAAGGATAGATTTACCAACATCCACAGATAAATCCGAGCCCAGCATGTAGTAGTGTAATGACTGCATGTTAGTAAGAAGGGAAAATTGCAAGAGACAAAAATGTTCTTAACTTGTAAAATTGTGTATACTGCTAAGTATTTTATTTAAAAATCCAATTTCTTTACATATCCTTCTTAAGTGTTTAGTTTTGTATCTTAAGACATTTTACAAATTAAGGGGTTGTATTTTTCAGCTGAGATGGTATCCTTGATACTATAATACCCATATTATTAAATTTTTTAAATAAATATATGTATAAATATGTATTCTAATGTCTGTATTATTAAACGTATTACCTAAACTTTCTGTTCCTTGATTGATTTTTTTAAAAAGATTTTTAGGCGCTACTTTTTCTTTTCGGACTTTAGGATTTTGGGTGTTTTTTTGTGCCTTTTTCCTTTTTGGGGGCTTCGTTCATCTGCAATGACTAGTTAGGAATTTCTATACAAACTACATAACCCCAGCTAACATCTATGCACACAGAGGGGAAGGGTCTGCACCTGCCCAGGGGTCTTTGTGACCCGTGACTTTTAAGTGTTATAATGGACCTAATTCAGCTACAGGACACATGGACATCAAATATTTCGCCAATAACGTATCCATAAATCAACACCTTGATTTACTACACCCTTATTGTTAGTTCCCAGATGTGCTTGACTATCTGTATTACTGACATACGACATTTTGATTTACTACATACACAGCTTACAAGGAGCAAGCTTTAAGCTTTAGCTGCCGGATGCGCTTGGCTGCGGCTGCTGCCCGTTCTCCTGCCCAGCTCTCCTTCGCTGTCCCTCAGGCTGGCAGGGCCCGGCCCGGCCCGGCCCCGCACAGCCCCGCCACATTCCTTCCCGGCAGGAGGCCGGAAGTGACGTGACCGTGCCGTCAGAGCGGCCGGAAGCGCCGCTGGGAGCAGTAAACAAGCGCGTCGGGATCCGCGGTCGCCGCTTCCATCTTGGAGGAGCCCGCGCCCACCGGGGACCATGGGCAGCGTCCTGGGCCTCTGCTCCATGGCGAGCTGGGTAAGGTGGATGCGGGTGGCTCGGGGGTCCCTCGCTGCCCGTCGCAAGCTCGGAGCGGGCGGCCGGTGCTTCCCCTCCTCCTTCCCTCCCCACCCGGGCCTCGCCCGTCGCCTCCCAGCGCCTGTGTCACCCACCCGGGTGGGGCGGCTGTGGCGCTGCCTTCGCTCCTCCGCCTGCGGCACGGGGAGACTG